GGAGCATATACAGGTAGGTCAAGTTTACACTCGCCCAGGTCGCAAGGTTTTTGACTCCAACCTGAAGTTACGGATGGTCGCACGGGAAAGTCAGTGTTACGATGGCTGAAAGATGTTAATCAATAAACTGGACTGACGCTGCCCCTCAGGAAATCATGAATGGACGACCAGGTGCGAATGATCATGTATACCGCCTATTGGCTGGACACCTGCTTACCATAAAACCACTAGACACGCTGAAAGGTTCTTACTACGCTAACCCCGTGGTAGATGTTCCCGACGTCAACCCCGCTGTAAAAGCTGCGTATCCACCAATCTACGGCAATAACATTTGTACGCATCATTCTTTTTACTACGGTATATTGAACACTCAATGTTACCAAGGGCCCGACAAGAACGAAATCGGTATAGAGGGTTTTGAAGAAGCCTTCAAGGATCTGGGAAGGTTCGTTTTCGATGTTGGGCGTCAACTCGCGGGCGCCTGCCAGCCCTTTGGTCAGTATATGCAACAAAGCGTCGCTGCGAACAGCTATTGATGAGGATCTCAGTCTCCAAATATTTGACGGATGTGTCTTTATCTGTTCCAGAACTCATCAGCGCACAAACCGCTAAAGCTCGCCTTTTGCACTACTTCCCTCCTGAAAATAACCCTACCACTGAGGATGAACCCATCGATAGCTGGTGCGGCTTTCATAAAGATCATTCACTCCTGACAGGGTTGTGTTCGGCAAGTACACGTCCGAGTGCATAAATGTTATGTGTGAAGTTTTGAATGCCGTTCTTTAGGCTATATTCCTTCGCGAAGAAGCAGGAATGGAGCCTACTGCTGTTCCTTCACCTTCTCCGACGTCCGGCTTGTACATCAGAACTCGAGGTGGAGATCTGACAAAGGTTTCGATTCCTCCAGACTGCCTTGCCTTCCAAACAGGCGAGGCCCTGGAGCTAGTCACTGCTGGAAAGTTACGAGCAACGCCTCACTGCGTGCGGGTTGGGCAAACACAAGTTGGAGTAAAGATATCACGAGAGACTTTTGCTCTCTTCATGCAGCCCGATACCCATCAACGTATCTCTGAAAGCGATACCTTCGGGTCATTTAGCAAGAAGGTGCTGGAGGAACACTATGAGGAAGCCAGGGTAATATGATCTATGTATTATATCCAAGTATCGCAAGATATCTAACAGCCCAAGTGATCGAGAAATGGCGTTGTACAATGAGACGAGTATTACAGTAAACTAGATAAATTACAGTCAACTTATGTCTGTGACCCTGTCGATTGGCGATGAGGAGTGAGCGCATCTGGCAGGACTGACATAACAGCAGCCGCAAGACTGCTACGTTTGAAGGTTGAGGACCGGTCAAGCTTGCCATCGTTCACTCTGCCCGAACTGGCGATACGCTTGTCGTCGCCATCAGAAATTACACTCCAGTCTTCACTGACTCGGCGTGAATCTGCTGAAGTCCGGGAACCAGAACCAGAACGCTCCAGAGTGGATTGCGATGATACGATATTCTGCTCATCGCGGACGGCGCCTTCGACATCATGCACAGCCTCTGATTCATTGGGGGTTCGCTTAATCAATGAGCGAGCATATTCAAGATCACGGTATATGGCCTCGATTGCAGTTGCAACACCGTCCTCCTATATCTGGGTTAAAAACATCCGCAAGTCTTAATTAAATCGACTTACAGCGCGTATACGCTCTCCAACTAGTTTCGCCCTCTCGATTTGTTTGACATCTGTAGTCGCAGAGACAAGCGCCTCAGTCATGCTCTCCACGGTCAACTTGCGGACACCCGTTCCTATGCCAAGGGCTTCAACACGATCAGCGGAGAAAAACTGGTCTCCAAAGAAAGGTTTGACGATGGTTGGTATGCCAGCTGCAGGAAATGCATCAGACTGGCAACGAAGATTTACAATGTACGAACCTCTTAAACTTGCACCGGTTGTTCCAGCACCACCGTGATGACATGCAGCGTCAATGCGCTGGAACAACCAATCATGAGGGATGGAATTAATCGGATAGATCTGTTTGGGCAATGGTTCCTCGGGTTCAGATACGTCCGAAGACTTCGTATGCAATCGATCGGACCAGCCCTTGGAGAGAATTGCATATACGCCACTCCGCAAAACAGCCTCTATCACGCAATGGGTCATTGCCACCGGGTCTGATACAACGATGCTGCCAAAGCCAATATAGACGACCTTCTTTCCAGCTTTATGAGCCGAATCGATGAACGGTAGGAGATCGGGTGGTGGAGTCCATTTTTTGGCGCTCACTTCTGCGTCGTCGAGGAACCAATATCCTAATGATAAATTGAGATAAACAGTTGTCATGCTAGGAGAACTCGAGCATACCAGTGATGCGGATCCACTCAGGCCAATCTAAAGGAGGGGGCACAAGCGTAGGACTGAAATTGTACAGGAAAGGTATCTTGTGAACCTGCATACGATCAAGGCTGGTATTGCCTATATGCAGAGTATTACGTCGCCAACGGTTTACTTGCCCCGAGATAGCACGCCAGAATACTTGATCGAACATAACATAAGTCTGGCATCGTTGTCGTCAGTCTAAGCGATGAACGAATACTGTTTCAACGCACCATATAGTTATACCCGCCACCCATCTGGAAGAATTATCATGAGCTCCAGCCTAGTGCAGTGACATGTCTCACAAACCTTGTGTTCTGGAACAGCGAAGGCATGTGGGTATGCCCTGGTACGTGTCCAAGTCATCGTGAAAGCTCTAAAGTAGGGTATCTTGAGTGCCTCTGCAATGTGAATTCCGGCCATGGCACTGGGACTTTCAATGAGGATGTCTGTGCCCTGACATGCTTCCCACGCAGTCTTCAAAAGGTCATCGATCCACCCGCGGAACTGGAAGGATGTAAGATCGGCAAATACTCATACATCATAAACGCACCTTTGACAAGCCTTCCTTGAGGAATGCCACAGTAAATGTGCCATTCTCAACACAGATGCGCATAAGTTCTGCTGGATCTCCACCAACATAGCCGAACTCGATTCCATACTGCTAGGTGTGTCAATGATGTGCCAACTCAGAAAGGTGGGCGACTAACGGTTTCTATCCATTCACGGAATTCGCCATGTGTTGCAATTTTGACTCGATGACCATCTTCCATGAGGCCCTTCGCCAGGGCTATGTAAGGTTGTACATCTCCTCTCGAGCCGATTGTCAGGAAAGTAAAATGTAAGGATTCCTTGGGCTTGAAGGTCAGGAATGTCGATGAGGAAGAGGTGAACATGACTGCTGGGAGTGATTCAGACATGTTTTCGGGTGGAGGGGTGGGATCTGAGTCTAAGGAATTGCCAGGCTCGAACTCCTCCAAGATGAGTGCATCTTTTTTCCCCTGACTGAGAACCGGGACATCTCCCGCACTCGCACGCTTCCTAACCTCTTCCATTTGCTGTTCTAGAATGCCAACGAATGCTTTTCGGCGGTCGTCGAAGCCAAATTCAAAGAAAAGTTCCTCATGGCCTTTGATAACGACTGTGAGACCGTAGTGGCCGAACCGAGTACCCTTGGTCATCTCGATGCTCAATATATCTCGAATAGGAAGAATCATCTAGGAAAGTGTGTCGTGAGGAGTAGACCCAGAGGATTCAAGAATTGCGTACCCGAGTCTTGGAAGAAAGAGGGCCAGTTGACTTGAAACAGAAATAGTTGGTCGAGACATACAGCCGGCCAGGTACTGGTAGAAGACGGAATATGTATCCAGTAAAATCTAAAAGGTGCTTAACAGCAAAACACGAGATAAAAAGAATACACATACAGCCCAACAAGATCTCCTTCTCGTCAAAGGCAAATGCACTCCTGAATTTATCAGTAGCTTCCGGATCAACGACAGCTTCTGGTGTCTCAAGAACACTGTATCCAAGATCACCTTGGGCACTTCCCGAGCTCCGCCGGGTCGCTGATTCTGCATTTGATAGGACAGAATATACTTCACGTATGCCACCTCCACTGGGAGAAGCACTAAACGAAGACGCATTCGAGGTAGAGGTGCCGAGACGGCTACGCGGGACCTTGAGCCACGAGGGTACTCCCACGCTCCATGAAGCACTTGATGGGATGGATTTTGCGGATGGACTAGAAGCCAGATCACCCACGGACGTGGAAGGAGGATAAGTGTGGTCCGCAGGAGTGGCAATCGTGAATGCTTTGGAAAGAGCGTGGAGCGCCTTGCTTGAGTCTGGGGAAGATATTGGATCAGGTGAAGATGTGACAGGCACCAGTGAAGAACCTGATCTCTTGGTTATGTGAGTGTACTCATCAGGCGCTTCGATAGGTTCGGGAGCCTCTTGTGCACTGTTCATGCGCCCCAAAGACGTGGGAAGCGAGTCCTGGAATGGTCGCAGAAGAGACGATAACCTGAAAGAGGAGCCAAAACGCGTGTCCAGTGTTGGGAGGCTTTTAGCGCGATCCATACCGTGAGTGGCGGAAGGCTGTGGCGGGCGGGTAGAGGTGGTGTCCAAGAGCGCCAGAGGCGACCTAGTGACCGATGAATGATGTGAACGCACAGCATCGCGAATAAGTTCCAAAGCGACTGGCAAGTCCTGGAAGTAGGCGAAGAAATACGAGTCCGTTGTAGAAGGCTCCTTGTCGAAAGCCTTAACCTCGATGGTCTCGCTAAAGTCTATCGCTGATGACTTCTCGACATCAAGGACATACGAGTAAGGGATTGCAATCTGCAAGAGGTAACATGTTAATACGCACACAAGTGAACATTATCAACCTGCCTTAACAGTGTCACCCATATTTTGGGCCTTAAAGATGACTTTCCTTATGGCCTTTACCCATTCCTCTCGACTAGGAACCGAGTCGGCTGACATGAGAACATTCTTCTGGTTGGTTCGGAGACGTATCTCCTTCTCTCCGAATGGATCACAAGATATCGCATAACGAAGATCTACTATACCATTTATGAAATAGGGGTCCTAATGAGGTATAAGATAACGATGTCTCGTAATTTGTTTCACTCACCGAGGAAGAGTGATACCAGGAGAGGGCATCATTCTTGAGCACGAACCAGTGCTTTGTCCACCGCTTAGTTCGGTTGGCCCTCTTGCTGAGTGTCCCTGACTTGAGTATCTGGTCCTACAGAAATCATAAAATTACGCCCAAAGAATTTGGATAGATTTCTTACCTCTCGACTGGGCATGTGTGCAAAGAAGCATAAATGAGAGTTTGTGAGGTACATATATCCCTGTAACACTATGCGCGGCATTAGAATCACACATCAATGTGTGAAACAAGTTGCCTTACAGACAGAGCGAAGCAACCAGCAAGGCATTTCTGGGATTGGTTGAGCATCGTGAGTAGCATCAATAAATGAGACACTCACCGGCTAGAACTTCATCGATGGCATTCAACTCAAAGATCTCCTTTAATTTCTCGGCTAGGCGCGTCCTCCGGTCGACTTTGACAGTCGTGATACTCCCAGCACGGCTAGAAGCCCTGCGTCTTATGTGCACCCCAGGTCGGAAGGCCGTCGGCAGCTCCGGTATAGCATGTTCTGGCTTTGGTACATCTGCGGGGCGCGGGGGTAGCAGCTTCAAAGTCCTCGGCATCAGCATCCTCTTCGGAGAGACAAGTCACGTCCAAATCTCCATCGGATGATTCATGTCCTTCCTCTGGCGATGGCAACGCAGTGCATGATGATAAGGATGCTTCCGCTCTTCTCGAACGCGCAACAGGACGATAAATAGCATGAATAGAAGAAGCCATAGGCACTGCTGGAAAGAAGTGTCAGAAAACGAAATCGATACAGGAGATTACGAACCTCTAGAATCTTCATCACTATCCTCATCCCCATGTGGTGTTATGGCATTAGCAAGATCATCATCCTGATCTGAAACATCTGCCCATGGAATAGCTTGTAGAGCTTGGATCAGAGTTTGAGTTCCAGCACGCATCTGAAACACGTGATTTGTCAATTGGATTACGCGTCACAGGGGATGGTCGTACAGAGCCTGTCCCTCGGAACGCCTGTAATGAGGGCCTATTACGGAATGGAGAGGGTGAACGAGGTCTGATAAAAGGCGAGTCATCTTGTATAGCATCTGACAACTGGGCTTCTGTGTCGGTGTTTCCATTGGAAAGGACCTGTTTAGGTATCTGCGAGGTACTAGGTACAACAGCTATTAGGCAGCGTCTGTCAACGTCTTTACGAGGAAAAGGAACACTGGCTGTTACCTTCAGTTTGATCCGACGGCTCTTTGGCCTTGCCTTTGCGACTCAGACTGAACACACGCCTGTGCTCTCCGCTGGATTTAGGCGAACTTGGTGACTGAGCTCTAGTACCGATACTCTTGCCAAAATCCTTGGTTCTGAGTGCCAGACGTTTTGCGCGACTTTGTGGAGAATCCTCATCTTGTTCAACCTGGTCTAGCAAACGGGGATCTTGGGGGGGAATTTCACTTTCCTGAGGACTTGGTACTGCTGTATTACGAGCAAGGGGCTTCCAAGGGGACGATTTGGACATACTGGCTGGCTGGCTCTGCTCAAGGCAAGATAGTGAAATGGTTCACGGCGCCAGACTTGGCGGTTATTCCCTATTTGGATAAACAGCTTGGCAAGTGGCATGCGCAAGTGCTCAATTATTCGTGGGAAAATAGAATGTAGACTTCCAAAGATATTAAAGTCGCGTGTATTCAATGCTGCAGGTTTGCCCGCTTCATGCTACGCCGTGAAGTTCTACACCCCGTTTCATTCATCTCTAGAAGCTTATCGTCATTGGAACATCGAAAAATGAGAGGAGAATACTGCGTTGGAGGTGCATCCTTTCTTTCGTGAGCATATTCCTTCCGCTTCCGCTTCCGACTTACCTTGCCACGGACAGGTTCGTTGCAATTTTGCTATTAATCTTTGTCCATGTATGTCTTCGTCGTCCTTTTCCATTATAATCTTATCAGTTCTGTCAGGTTGGGCAAATCAGTACCTCACTTGTTCCACATGGAATTGCAATGGTGATTGATTCGTGGTTATAATTGTGGGTCCGAAACCTTTCTGATCCGAACACCGTCCAGGCAAAAGTCAACACTTCAGGGTTCGGGTTTGTGCTCCACATGATTTGTTTGGCCCATATGCTAATAAGGCCACAGTCAGGCATTAAATGAATCCATCCTTAATCCAATTGGGGGCCTATATACCACCAATTATACCTCGCCGCTCGGCGAGCACAATGGGCTGAGACAATTCTACGACTTCGGTCTCTATTCCTATTGCGCATATGTTAACAGCTCTGCTGGAACATGCACCAATCGCACCGTTGCCTACAATTTTGAGCCTTACGCTGCGATGAAGTCCGATATGCTCGCCAACTACTCACAATATTCTGATTCGATGTTTGTCAACACGACCTTCTTCAACTCAGCCTACCTGGCTTACAATTCCCGCGTTGCATATTACTTCCTCCTCATCGGGACCATATTTGCAACCATCGCATTGTTCACGTAAGGTCCACCTCGATTCTCATACGCGTCACACTCAAGGCCTGCCTACAGCGGTGTAGCCAAAAGGGCACTCCTGTTTTTTATTTCAACGGCTTCATCGATAATGGCTGCCCTGTTCATTCTCATCGGCGCTGCCATCTGGACATCGATCGTCAAAAAAAGCGAGGACATCAATACCCTGGAAATCACACAGATCAATGGTGGCGTCTTATCAGGGGTCACCGTGTCTTATGGAAATGGAATATACCTTGCATGGGCTGCCTTTGCCTGTTTGGCCGCAGCTACAGTGCCATACATGGTTAGGTATGATTTTATTGTTCAATCGATTCGCTCAAAACGGCGTAACTCATCACTCAACCAGCTGTTGCACATTTCGAGGATGAGTATTTGATGCTGGTCATCACCCGCGTGGACTTTTATGATAAGCGATAACCTATCACGATCAATGATGTGACTCCCCTCGTGAGACTCATCAATGAGGATATTTAGACTATATGACTATGTATTATGATTCAGTTTACGGTGAAATGAAAGTGCCGAAATTGTTCATGCTCCTTTAAATGCCTCGAGTAATGTCAATTGTAAAACAAATTACAATCACCTTCAGGGGAAAAGTTGTCTTCATACATGACATGTCACATACTGGAATAGACAACAAAAACTATTAGCCCACCGCGAGGGTCGAACTCGCAGCCTTCAGATTCGCCTAGTCATAAGAGTCTGACGCTCTATCCGATTGAGCTAGGCGGGCGATGACATCGTGAGTAAACCCATCGAGTTGAACGGCACCTGAACCACGCCGACGGAAGCTAACAATAGGTCAACGGACAAAGATAACCTCCTAGGCGGGGATCACAGTATTTATGGATTTGGTGCCGCGCCGGCTGCAACGGAGCTTTGATGAGCTGCTAGCTGTCAGGGGCAACTCAAGCTGTGCACCATAGAGATCCCAGGCGACCCGTAACAATGGTGTCAACTCCCGCGCGCAGGTTGTGATAGCTTCGGAACTTTTCGGTAGCAGACTGTGAGTCTTTAACATACCGTACACCTCCTAAAGCTTTAAAGACGCAAGTGTGCGGTTCTTCTATGAAACAAGCGAAATACGCAAAGGAATTCACATAGAGATGCTGTGCGACCCGACGTACGGGCTGTGATCGTTGGTTGCATACGGAGATCTTTTCTGTCTAGATGCGGGCGCAACTTGAAGCCTGAGCGCACACCTAGTACTCAGGCTAGTAGCCGAGTCAGCGCTGGTTACGCTCCGACGGAACCATTGTTTGTCATTCTCATGATTGTTTCCATTAGAATTTCTTAAATAGGCTGTGAAGGGTGAGAATGAAGCTGATGTAATGATGGTTATAAGCCGTTTGCTTGCGTGGTCCGCAGCAGAATTCGCCCTCCTGCTTAACTTTAGTATCTGACTCGATTGAACACTCTACGACTTCGCAATAAAATATTTGCGCAGTATCAAATTCTCTAATGGCAGCAGACTCACAAGTTGATGATTTCTATTCTTCCTTCGAGCCCTATGGTTCTGAATTCACAAAGCAAGGTGGTGGCCTTGACTTTACTTCATTTCACTCGCCTTCAGACATCCTCGCACCCCATCCCGATCTATTCGAATTAGAACTGGATTCAAGCCTTGCGGCTTTCAACGAAGTCCAGCTGCAGCTCCTCACCGTAGACTCCAACGACGCTTACTCCTTTTTGAGATCCGATACTCCAACGTGTGGTCCTCCTTCCACGATCACCGTTTCTTCCGAGTCTGCATACGACACTCTTTCCACCCACTCAGAGTCCCTCTATAACTACCCGGATTCTCCTTCCTTTTCTGCCAATTGCTCCTTTCCTCTAGACTTAGAGATGGATTTCCAGCGTGTTCGCGTCGGTGGTAGCGCTTGCTCCGACTATGGTATTAATTCCGCTGCGCAGTCCAACAATAATTCTCTTCCCATGACTGTCGACCCCAGCACTTTTGGGGCCTTGCCCCTCAGCCCCCGCAGTCCTTCTGTGACTGCGCCTGCTGCAGACAATTCCTATAAGCGCACAAGCTTCTCAGACTATGGTGGCGCAACTCGCATTCCTGCGGTACCAAAGTCCTCAACCGCAGAGTATTTCCTCAACTATATTTCCAGCAGTGACCCCGCTGTCGCGCCATCCAACATGTCGCAACTATCCGCATCATCTTCCCCTCCACCTCTTGCAAGGTCACTTAGGGGTGTCGACGATCAGTCCAAAGACGATCCTCGTAAAAGGTACCAATGCCCTTCATGCCCCCGAGGTTGGTACCATATGTGTTGTCCTGACTTATCGCTGATCCCTTTTGTCCTCTAGCATTTGCACGGGCTTACAACTTGAAGACGCACATGGCAACCCATGACCCAAATCGTCTCAAACCCCATGTGTGCCCTCACCGCTCGTGTGGGCGGTCTTTTAGCCGCAAACATGATCTTGGCCGTCACTTGGTCAGCATTCATCGTGATGAGTCCGTGGCTTCCACGCCGTCCGCGGCAATCAAGTCTATAGGTGTCGACAGCGGTCACAGGAGTTGGTGTGAGAGCTGCGGCAAAGGAACAGTCGGTGCCTCGACCCAGTGCTTGTGCGCCGACATCAAATAGTTGCAGATTCTGTTGTCCTGTTTAACACTATGCGTGCGTATTGTTTTGAATTGCGCTTCCTGTATTGATCCACGCGCTGTTCATAGCATGGGCGAGTATTTTTCGCCACTCGCTTCGTCGTAGTCGATGGTCGATTCGTCCACTGCGCGCTTCTGAAGACGTATCATTCCGCTATCTACGCTATTTCCGTTCCTGACGTGTTGCGTATCGTACCGCTCAGCCATAGTTGCTGAGCCCAGTGACGAACGTGATCTCGGGCTGCCTCCCTCATTTATGCTTACCTTCGTCCACTACGGACCGGTAATATTATATTTCGTTCGGATACTTTATTTGTGTTAACTCCTATATGACGATGCTTTGATTTTCCGTAACGTAAACAAACGATCACTTCTTAAAACCACTTCCTTATATCTTGGAAGACCTTCGTTATTTATGTACCCAGTGCAGCAGAAAAATACTACCATTTATGCATTTGTGAGTGTGTCAGAACTACTTGCCTATAATCTCATACCTCCTCCAGTTCAATAATCTGTGCTGGATGGTGTCGGGGCCACCATCATAAGTTAAGCCTGAGTTCTTGTCAAATGTTCACCAGGATCTTCCACTGCAGCGGATGAATGTGAATTGCTACTAGCTATTTTGGCCATCTACGCTAGTGCAACTCGGCGGCCTACCGACGACAAGAGCAATGGCCATTGGGTGAGAGTCATACGAGAAACAACAGGCGAGCTCGAGGCTGCTCGTGTTGCGGGTGCACATTGTTTTTGAAATTTAAATGTGGTACCTGCGACGCGGTCACGTGGACCGATCGTCTTTTCGTCACCAGTGATCTCATCGAAGTTTGGATTGCAAGTCTTGTCCGCGTCGGCCTGTGATTAGGAGTATAAAAGACGAGATGGACGCCCGCCTCCTCTCTTTCCATAACCCGCCATGTCATCTATCGGTCAATCAGTCGAAAAAGCTTTCACTACCATGACTTCCACGAAAAAAGTCGTGGACTTGCAGCGAGACATACAGAAACCGCAAGCCGACCAGCCCAGGCTGACAACGGATCATGGTGTCAAGGTGGCTGACACGGACAATTGGTGAGCATGAGTGTATGCATCGAGTAGGTGGTGTTGATCTTTAATTTCTCGTCAGGCTCAAGATCATCGGCTCCGAGCCAAAGAAGAATGGTTCTTCGCTCCTTGAGGATCAGATTGCGCGAGAGAAGATACACCGCTTTGACCACGAACGGATCCCAGAGCGTGTAGTGCATGCCCGCGGTACCGGTGCTCATGGCTATTTCACGGTATCTAGCGATCGCGCTTCGAAATACACATTCGCCCCTGTCCTGACGGATTCCTCGAGGACGACTCCTGTCTTCGTCCGTTTCAGCACTGTTCAGGGTTCGCGTGGCAGCGCTGTGCGTATATGCTTCTTTTTTCGCGCATATAATCGGTTAAAGTCTTCTGTCGCGTGTAGGACACCGTCCGCGATGTCAGAGGGTTTGCGGTTAAGTTCTATACTGAAGAAGGCAATTGGGACATCGTCGGAAATGACATTCCCGTTTTCTTCATTCAGGATGCCATTAAATTCCCTGACTTCGTTCACGCCGTGAAGCCAGAGCCTCATAATGATGTGCCTCAAGGCCAGAGTGCCCATAACAACTTTTGGGACTTTGTGGGCCTGCAACCTGAGTGTTCGTCAAATTAGTCGTTCCCGGATACTTGTTGACGCCCTTTTTTGCAGCTGCACATATGGTGATGTGGGTCATGTCTGATCGCGGCGTTCCACGGTCCTTCCGCATGATGCAAGGATTCGGGGTGAACACCTTCACGTTGCAGAATGCAGCAGGTGAACGCCACTTTGTCAAGTTTCACTTCATCCCAGAGTTGGGGGTCCACAGCCTTCTTTGGGATGAAGCCCTCAAGATCAACGGCCAAGATCCCGATTTTCACCGTAAAGACTTGAGCGAGGCCATCGAGAGCGGTGCATACCCAAAGTGGAAGTTCGCCATTCAGACAATCCCTCAGTCACGAGAGCACGAATTCGAATTTGACATCTTGGACGCAACTAAGGTCTGGCCGCAGGAACTTGTGCCTCTTGAGGAGATTGGCGAACTAGTTCTCAACCGCGTTGTCGACGAGTTTTTCCCAGAGACCGAGCAAGTCGCATTTTGCACCAGCCATGTCGTTCCAGGAATAGGATTTAGTAACGATCCTCTTCTGCAAGGTCGAAACTTCTCGTACTTTGATACCCAGATCTCTCGTTTGGGCGTCAACTGGGAGGAGGTGAACTCTAGTCGTTTTCTGTTGCCAAAACTTGCACTCACTGCTACGGCTGCAGCTTCCCATCAATAGACCTGTGTGTCCTGTGTTCAATCACAATCGTGACGGGAAGAGTAGGCATCGTATTGTTAAGAGCGAAGTCAACTATTGGCCGAACCGCAAGGATATCGGACGCCCAGTTACCGGGGAGGAAGGTGGATACGTCGAGTAGGTTTACTTCACATATTTTTGCCTTCTCAGTCTCACACTGTGTAGGTATGCAGAGGCTCTTGGTCAGGGTATTAAACAAAGGGCGCGCGGGCCGAAGTTTCAGGAGCACTTCAGCCAAGCTCAACTGTTCTATAACTCGCTTTCCGCGCATGAAAAGGCCCACCTCGTCAGCGCCATCGGCTTCGAACTTAGTCATTGCGAGGACCCGGTCGTTTACAAGTCCTATATCAACGTTCTGAACAACATCGATTTCGACCTGGCAAAGGCGGTCGCCGTTAAGGTGAATGGCGAGGTGCCGACTAAGCCCGGTCGTGCCAATGATGGGAAGAAGAGCAAGGGTCTTTCGCAAATTGACTTTTTGCCCAAGGAGCCTACCATTGTCTCAAGGCGCATTGCCATCCTGATTTCGGACGGGTTCAATGCTGTTGAGATGCAAGCTGTGCGGGCTGCTCTCACGAGCGCAAAGGCTGTTTGCTACCTTATCGGCCCCCGTCGTAACCACATTCGTCCGATGGCCGGTCAAGATTTCGGGCCAGGAGTATTCGCCGATCACCACTTTGACAGCCAGCGTTCAACGCTGTTTGATGCCGTCTATATCCCTTCTGGCGAGGAGCACGTAAGGACCCTTTCAAAGAATGGTCGCGTGGTTCACTGGGTAAGGGAGGCATTTGGTCACTGCAAGGCTATCGCTGCCGTTGGTGAAGGTGTGTCCATTAGAAACTGACAAGTTATCACATGGTCGTTGACACTTGAGACGTTTCAGGCGTTAATTTCCTCCGTGACGATGTTAGACTCCCTGGTATTGATCTATTCGCCCCTTCGCGCGACCAAGACAGCGATGAAGTTGTCACATCTTACGGCGTAGTGACTACAGGGAAGTACAGCATCTCCTCGGCTGTCACAGACGTGCTCAACATTGCGCCGGACACAAGAGGCTTTGCTTCTAACTTCGCATTCCAAATTAGCCAGCACAAGTGTTATGAGCGAGAACTGGATGGGTTGACTGAGCAGGTTGCGTTCTGAGATTTGATGGACTTTCGTTGGGCTATGGACAGGTTTCTTTGGTTGGGAGTTGTATTATTATATCACATACGTAATGGCACCTGTCAGTGTCAATGTAACGTGTCAAGAAGTGTATCATTTCCGCAGGATTATTAATTCTGTGCCGTTCTCAACTTGAAGTCAATGATTTATGGGAGTTCGACAACAGGCAAGCATAATCATACAAGTTCTGATATACCTCGGTTGTACTCTAAGTTGTAAAATCTATATACAACACAAGTACAACAAATATTGTTTGAATGAATTCTTCTTCACTGTCCTGTATCTCCCATTGCAAGCATGGCAATAGCATAAACGTTGGCCATCACTATCACCACCCAGATGACCCATGCTAAGGCTGTGACGATATATCCATTACTAAAGTCGACAACGTCGTATTCCTGTGTTTCGCATGGCTGTGTTGACGAATGTTTGATCGGATTATCTTGACTTTCCGAGTCAATGTTTCGTTCAACAACAGAAATGCCAGTGGTCACAGGTAAGGGCGGCTGGCGGGCAGACAGTGCGTCAGAAACAAGGGATACTGCATGCGTGGAAGGTATCGGCAGGGTATCGATGTGTTTTTCTTGGATCACTTTCGGCGTTCTAACAGACATCACCGTTTTTGACGACGTGAGGTAGATGAGGGGGAATGCGACGAAGGGGAGGACGACGGACAGAACGACTTGTGATGCAATGAGGAGAGCGTTAACCCCTGCCCCTCCAGATGCAACAGCAACGACAATAGAGGGTATTAGACTAATCAGGCGTGTGAGAAGACGGCGGACAAATGGCTGTGAAGAACAGGCGTTAAGGCGAAGATGAAGCTATCAAAATGAATGATGCATACAGAGACGTTCCACGATATGAACCCTTCGGAGACAATTTGGCCCGCAAGCGTTGCCGTAACACTGGCAGTTTGGCCTGAACAGATGAGGGCGAGTGCAAACATTAAGGCCGCGGCTATTTAATAGTGAGTCTAGTATTGTCGCAATATGAGCATCTCCGCTTACGTGCCCCAAGACTTTGTATTATCAAGGTATGCATGGTGACCAGTCCGATTGAGTCGTTGCTGTCGGACGCATAGAACATAGCAGCGGCCAAAACCAATATCCTGGACCTTCTACGTCAAGTGATGAAAGCAACAGGGAAGGAGGGACGTACGCCGAGTTGATCGGCACCGCAAGTCCAAATAGACTGAGTATGAGATCGACAGTTCCGTAGCCAAGATGAGCGCGAATGAATTCTATTGAGTTGTTCTGACGAAACCCGTGTCGGGAGGTATAGTCTTTCCCGTTATTATGTTCTGATCGTGAAAAGTATATAATGCTCCTCCAAAACCGCTCAAGTCTTTGGAAGAATGACGGCCGCCTTACGTCTGCAGGTGTCGGAAGTGGCTGGGCCGATTGTGAAACACGATCTTGGGTTGCAAGATTCGAGCCCAGAAACAGCCCATGGGGCATGACAGTGGCACCGATGATTCCAATAGCTATACTATTTTGTTAGTAATTTGGCTACTGTGAAGCGTGGGTCATACCTGTATAGACTGCGTTAGGGTTTGTCTGAAGAAGACCCGAGGATGGCACAAAGCCCAAAAACACTTGTGGCCAATTTGGGTGAACCTTGACTAGTAGCAAGATGAAACATATGAAGACAACTGCAACCTAAAATTTGAATCAGCGACCAGTTGGTTTTCTGTTACTATCAGCACAAACCAATATTATGATCACCAACTCAAAAAGCCGCACTGGACGTCCTGTTCGCGAGGGGTCGCCTATGATGAGGAAGACGAAAACGTCGATACCGGTAATGAGCACGGCAGACCACATGGGGAGCTGTGGAAAAAGCAAGCAGATACCGATTGCCGAACCAAGTAATTCTGCAAGGTCCGTGCTGATGATGGCTATTTCGCACAGTGCATAGAGAGGATACAGCACAAGTCGCCGGACCAACCGTGGGTGTTTTGGATGGTCATGAAAAAGAAGTCTACAGTGATAAGCCAAATCTAGCAACGTCGTATAAGAAGGCACAGTGATGAGATGTAAAATATTTCACCTAGACCAGTTACGCAGCCGAGTCTAGCTGCCAACACCTGTGATGTGGTGGCATTAGAGGTTGCGTAAATAACATTAGATATATATCGACGACGTGCCTGATAAATAATTGCAATGATTCCGGCGAGAAGAATGATGAATAGCATGGGTCGATATCCAAAGGTAGTACCTGCTTGAATATCGACGGTCCAATTTCCGCTTGATAAAAATCAGATATATATAATGTATAGATCGCAAGCGGTTATATGGCGTACGGATCGAAATAGCCCACTGCGCATATGATACCGACGCCTACATGTTTTTTGAAGTGGTGCAGCACAGTGTTGAACGCAGAACTGACTACGGACGTCTGATTACGTGCCAGAGGTTGGGGAGTCTGTGCAGAGGAATCATCATGCAAGGACTGTGATGAAAAGCTTGAATGCATCCCAAAGCTTCCTTGGGAAATGGCTGAGAGAAGATGGGTGGTATACCATGATTTTGACGCGATTTAAAGGACCAATGATGAAGTCTTCCTTTAGGTTTGATGTAGGGCTATTTTCGGGTGTATCAGATAAAGCGCACATAACATAAATTGCTCCCGCAGGATCAACGCTCCGCTGCCACAGTGCTTATTTTTCTCCAGGTCCAGGTTTATGACTTGTTGCAGCGTTTGTACTGTTCTAGTTTCAGTTCTAAACGTCTACGCCGCTGTCAAACGACAATCTTTGTAAGTCCGCATGTCAGTTCTTGATTGATGACTAGAAGGGTCCCCTCGTAGAAGTCGCCTTCAAACTCCGCGACGATATCGCAAACCTCTACAGTGTACTATTGACGTCTCATTTCAGGGTGGAATACATGTCGATTGTTACTCGTGTTGTCAATGGAACAGCACCAGGAATGGGTGTGGTAATGGTTGCGAAGCCTGCTGAAAGGAGGTCATCAAATGCCACCACATCAACCCAGTCCCGTGGTTGTGATTAAGGTCGGTCTTTGTGAGCTAAGTACGGAGCTTGGCAGGGAGTATTGACACGGGTCACCTCGAATGAGGTATGTTCTTCTTGCTTATCTGTGTGAGGTGTTCACGTCGCAATTCTTCGGCTCCTGCCAGTGAAAAAATGGCTATCCGGTTTGAAACGATATCTATCGAGTTTACAGGCCTGTTCATTTGCCACCTGTGGCGATTGCGCAGTCCTCGTTGCCACCTCCTTTACTAGTGGAGCTTAGCAATCCTATACCTGGCGAGATCCAGTGAGATTAGGGTCCTTGCTTCTCTCTCTTCGATTTACTCGTCTCGCTAGGTACGCTGTTGGTTTGCTTTATCGTTTCTCTTCTCACTCGATTTATTCGTCTCACTAGCAATCTATAATCATCCAATACTTCTCATGTCTAATCATGGAGAATTAACGACTCAAACCGTTTCGTCCTCTGACCCCTCTAATCTCAACTATGGGGAATTTGACCGGGGAACCATTAACCGATGCCTTAAGCTTGTTGAGGACTATCGAAACGGAAGTTCTTCCAAGATGTGACGGAGTACAAGTTCGAATTACAACACCCAAGTATATTTCCCCCACCCCATACAACAGAAAGCTTATGACGAGACTATGTCCAACATAGGGTCTACTAACCCCAAAGGACCCCACTCTGAAGTAAAGATAAAAATTCCAAGGGAGATGCACTCCTCGAAATTCAGACAGTCCTCCAAGCATGTATCGGAGAATCTGAAACCCTTACACAACTCGATTTCAAACCAGGCTTCCTCCACTATCTCGAACTTCTCGATCATGCCCATGACGATGATCAACTCCCGTCAGAACGAGTTCGAGCGGAAGATTCTGTTCCAGAACCCAGAGGTGTTGAAACTGAGCCTATTTTATTAAAAAAAATCCAAATTTTTGTCTTTGAGAGTATGACTCTATGTAGACAGTACTATCTAGTTATGGGGGCCCCTGTGCCCCCCCGCACTTCTAGATTAATGAATGCCCCGGTGTGAGGCTTGCCTCCATCCAGTCCGCCGTTCCCGACGCACGTTTTAGACATGCAATCTATCGAAGGAAAGGTGACTAAGAATATCGCGCGATGAAGTAACTGAGTAGGTAAAGATTGACTGGTCTCGTTATCGGTCGCAGAAGCGACCGGTACCGAGCCTATTGAGAAAGAGAAGACATTGCGTGAAAGATTGCGTCGACATAGTAATTCCGAAGAGGCAGAAAGTGAGTTTGCAGGAAATGAAGGAGACTATGTATTGTGAGGAAAGCAGCGTAAACTCACACCAGAACGTCTCCAATTCTATCCCTGGCTCCAGCCGAAGGAGTATCGATTTGTCTCCATACGGAAGGCAGATCAGCTTACCCTCGGGCCTCGATTGCTATGAAGAGTGGACGGAGGACCCCAAGTACTATCAGTGCCAAGTCACTAGTACCCCAGGATGTCCTAACTTCCCGTCCTCCCAATGGACCCTCCTTTTCGGGGGAAGAGCTCCAGACCTTGAGAAAATCTTATCGGGAGATTACTACACTACCATCGATCCTAAACAGATTCAAGAGCTCGGAAAAGGATTTGAAATAATCTTCTCCCAACTAACTACCACTCATCGCGTACGATCCTATGGAGACTGGAGCGTCGCTTCAGAGCTCTGGATTGATGTCTTGTCGTTCATCATGCCGTGGAAGGAGTTTGAGCTTCGTGATTACAGGCGGTATTTGTCCGGAATCTCCGCCTTGTTCACTTCAGCGTCCATTCCCGTATCATCGACTTCGATCGAGGCCCCCATAAACGCGGAGACTGCGGCTCTGTGGCAAAAGGGTCTAAATGATACCATAGCGCGAGGCCAGCGTTTTCGACGTATGCCAACCACCGGTTCGGACACTTTTGCAATATCTCACTCAACTCTGCTTCAAATCATATTTTGTCCAATCACATATCATTGTACACTTATGTCGAGAAATGATCGAGATCCTTGTTCAGGCGCAAACATCATGCATTATGTCCGCTTGTCACAATTGAGCCGAGTCTGCCGTAGCGGAGTTTCAGATCTTGCCTGAAAGGAGAAAGAGCAGGCAGATGCGGCAAAACAGGCGCAGAAGAAAGCTGAGAATGATGCTTGGACAGTGAAGATCAACCAAAATGCAGTCACAAAAGATTTCGACACTCCACTCTCCTCGTACAGGCTCAAGGTCGATTTTCTCACTGTCGCGCAAGCTCTCGAACTCGCTATCGAAATGGACGCAATTGCTTCACTGACCAAGACACACCTTCTTTTGTACCATACTATCCTAGCCATTTAAATAGTTCCTACAGCCCCTCATGATTTTGTACCAGTTCATAATGCACATTCAATAAAACCTTTTCAATTGTTTAACTTTTAGTTAGAATAATGAACGCTACGAGGCCCGTGCACTTAAATGGTGAACGGCGCTGATACTGAGCAGAGCTTGTTTTCGGCTGATGTGACATTGTGTGACTGTCCGAACCTGTCCGAAGTTGTGATTTAATAACCCCTCTATAGAATATCTGGCAGTTTTGTTCCCGTTTCTCACGCTCCTGGTCAAACTTGGGCTAACGCCATCCGAGTCAACGTTACCGACTGATTGAGAACAAGTAACGCGCCCCTGGACAAAAACCTTCTCTCTATTGCACTCAACTCACAGGTTGTGATGGATTTCAACGACCTTCATCCCTCAGACGATTACAGTCATAGATTTTTCATCTGGCACGAATGGATCCAGGTATTCGATTCGAACGCCACAAAGGTGTCAATATGCTTCCCATGCTCACGAGTGAACAAATCAGGCGAATGGTCCTCTCACTTCGGAGAACGTGTTTGATTATTTTGCTACGTCGATGTTTTATGACAAGCAGAGCAATAATCAGGTTTTGCGCATGCAGACTATGCACACGGGCGTACCCATATTAAACGAATCGGAAGAACTTAAGTGAGTTTCATTGATATTCAAAGCTCCTTTTGCATATCTTGTCACATAATTTATAGACGTTTCACCGGCATCGAGTTTACTCTTGTGCATGCGCAGCCACCTTCGCTATTTATTATTCACAAAAGAGAGCGGTCATCCCCTGAAGAAGGTACGTTGGATTTTGCTCGGTAGCTCCCAAATTTGAGCATGGAACTATAATAGTTCGCCCTCTTGCTGCTTATTTTATCATGAACAACCGGATCTATCGGTCTCCAGACGTCTACGGTGTTCTCTCCAACCGTTTGGTATTTTCCCACTCCTATACTAGATTCATTTCGACTGATTTTCTGGTAGCTTACTTCCCTATACGCTTTGCAGTCCTCTTTAGATATACTTCGCATCAACCGACCTGACTACACCCCTCGCACGGGATTTATCTGGCCAATTACGGAGCAAGTCATGTCTGATGATACTAGCAAGAAATGGGGTGCAGAGGATTCCACGACTGCTGTAGGCGAGACAGAGATCTCTCCGTCACAGTCGGAAAGTCAGAAACCCATAACGGCCAGCGGACCAAAAAAGCAACAGAACAACATGTTGATGTATAACGCAATGAGGTCTACTGCGTTACACTCAAAACTTTCCTTTTCTTCCTCTGCTTCTGTCAGAGATGGGGAGAGTGTTCCCCCCGAGTCCCTAGGGATACGCTCCTCAGCTACACCTGCACCTACAGTGACCAGAGCGGCGACCCCAGCCAGTGGTCCCACAACCCAAGACACACTTCCACCAAAGGGTGCGCCTGGTGCGGGTAAAAAGAAGAAAAAGCGTACGTGTCAACCGAAATTGGTGTTATTGCTCGCGCGTTTATAAGTGGATGTTATATCATAAATTAGGTACTTTGTTGGTTCCCGGAGCAAGTTAATGGCCTCCAAGGCTCCAACCTCTATGTATCACATCCCCATGCAGGTGACTGGCGTTTGTCGTGAGTGATGGCGTAGAATATCATCCTTCCCACAAGTCTGCGGACTTCATTACCACCAAGTGTTATCTTGTATCATCATATCATGGATATCTTACTGCCGATGCAAGAATAGGACAGATTAGGACCTGGAGCTACAATCGGCGTTGTAGTTGAATTAGGTGTTCTGGAAACCTACAATCTTTATTTAACACTGTAAAGTTTAAACCTAACATTGCCCCGCTACACGTGAAATTTGTTCCTAGCAGCTCATCAATTCATCGAGTGGCGACACCTGCCAGCCTATCAGTCAACCACCCCAGTGGAGTCTGCAGAGATCCGCTTCGCGGACCCCCGGCTCCGCTGCCTAGAGATAAAGGATTTGCCGATGCAAATGAGTTCCTTCTGGCCTTCGAAGCTAGTTTCACTACCAGGGATTCGTTAATATCAGGAGGAAATACTATCTTTATGCATGATCGTTCCAAATATAAACGTCAAGCTTGAAAACACATGACCGTCGTAACGGATGAGAGGAGCTGGAAAAGTTATACGGACCTGAGTTGCTGATTTCATCTCCATTGGTCTCCAAGACAAGACCGCCTTGTATGATTTCTGCAAGAATGTGATGCGCCTGCGCATTCGCAACATCGCTCATCAGAGGGCTTTCGTATGAAGCCCATGTAACTTACTTCATCGAAATGAAACACTAGGTCCAGTTCACAGACATTTTCAAAGTGCCGATCGAGCCCTTCCACAAACACCTAGAATAGTTTATCACAACGTGAGCACGGCTACTGAGGCGACATTCACCTGTATCAAGTCTAGTATGCCCAGTTCGCTTTCTGCACCATCGACGACAAAGACAAAATACAAAGTGGCGTAATTTCGGTAGACAACGCGCCATCTCTCGTCCGAGCCATCCTTGGGGCCAAGAAACGCTTCGAGCTCCGGTGCATCTAGAAAGTTGCAGAGTCCCGCAGGCCGGATGGATATGAGAGAGAATATCTTCTGTATCAATGTCTGAGAAGATTGGTGGAGGGGCGTGTAAAACTTGGTCAGCCTTGGAATGCCGGATGTGTTGACTGCAAAGCAGAACATGATGTCAGTGCAGAACGACATGGCTAGAGATCTCTCTAACAGATGAACACGGCATGAATCATGGTGACTGTTGTAGAGTACAGCAGAAAAACAGTAATGCGACGGTCCACGCCAACTTCCAGTTAATAGTTTGATTGCTAGTACTATTTAGTAGTAGTACCGGGTAACCTAGTATTGCGCAGCTACCTACACAGTAGTCACTTACATAAGTAGTGTGCAGCTAATTTTGACATTCACAGCGTAAATTCACAATGTGCCCTCTGAGAGGCCTCTCTGAGATCTCAGATTTACCAGTGTCAATTACCGTAAATTTACAAGGCTGTCGATTAACGTTATAACGCTAATTTACCGTGAATTTGAGTGAATTTGGGTGAATCACTGGATCCTACAGGTTCCAATGAGAAGGATCAAGTAGCGACTAGGACGAGCTTTTGACGTTTTCTTGATGGGCGCAGAAGCAGGCTGCGAGGCTTGTTTAACGTTGGAATCTGAAAGTGGTTAAGTAGCTTGCTAGTCACTGATAGTGTTAGTTCACACATGTACAAAGTACAAAGAACAGACATGCACCCATTTCTTTCAAGCCGCTCTGTCGCCGTTACAACTGCTGTAAGACACCATTGACATTTCCATAGATTTTCCTGTGCCTCAGTTCCCAACAGTCCGCGTGTAGGTGGTGCAGCAAATCATGAATCATCCCTTGGAAATGTCCATCCTGGCTGCAAGCGACCCGCAAGGTTTCCCACAGGTCCAGAAAGACCCGCTTGGCTCTTAAAACTTTCCAAGAAATTCTTGATTAGGTTGTAGTCCATCGGCACCTCTTCTTCGCCAGAGTCAGGTTCCTCCATATCTCCATCTCCGTATTCGAGCACGGCTTTGAGCTCGGCCTCCATTTGAGCTTCGATGTCTAGGTCCTCCTCACCGTCTTCATCTATTAACTTCGATTTAGATTTGCCTTTGCCGGGGGACATTTCAGGGTCGCCTGTGGGGAGGGTCGGAACCTTGTCCTTCCCTCTCTTCTTCTTCTGTGCTGTCTGGCGAGACTGGTTCAGTTCGGCATCCATAGCTTGCATGACAGCTTCAAAGGAATCCAGATTCGGATTCACATTCGGTCTCGGGCCAGGGACAGGTTGCCGACCCTGTGCTGGAGGCGCGGAAGAATCAGATTTATTGTTCGATGATCTTGTTGAGGTAGATGTTGTGTTCTCCGCCGTGATGCTAGTGGGAACAAAGGCTGTAAAAATGTTGATTAACAAGATCTTCCGCAGGTCAATTAGTAATCACCTCCTCGTCCTTTCCTATCCTTGATAATGTCTCCCCACTGTTGGTCAGATATTCCCAAAGCCTGCCTTGAAAACTCCAGGAACTCTGCTTCTTCCTCGTCCATGTTAACTTCAACATCGCCGACGACCTGCGGGCGGTCTTCCTCTGACTCGATATCTTCTTCATCTCCACCAGCGAGTGGATCAGAGTTAGATGATTCATCATCAGAATCGACACCCTCGTACTCGTCGCGCGGTTAGGATGGGTGGTCGTATAGACCGAGTGCGAGCTGGCGACGTAATTTCTAAAGCGGGTTCGGCGGCCGAAAATTGTGTTTTAACTGGATCGGTCTCCTCGACTGTTTCAGTCTCAATAGTAACTTTGGAGACACGCTGAGTGTTAAATGAAGCGGGCATCTGTCCATACTCGGCCTCAGAAAGGGCAGGCACAAGCTTCGCCATCGCTTCTTGGCGTGCAGCTTCGTCTGCAACTGGCTCATCCTCATCGTCTGAGTCCGAGAATTTCTCGTCACTGAAATTCTCTTCATCTTCTTCGTCTGCATCATCCTCGTCGCCTTCATCGCCTGAGAAAGCCTCACTAGAAACAGAAGATTTAGTTTCTGAAAGGCTCCGGTGTATGGATACTTACTCTTCAAACCTGGCACCCTCTACATCACCTTCTCCTTCGACAAACTTCTGCACCTTGGCTGCAAGGTCCTGCAATTTGTTTGCTTGTTCCTTGGCTACCCTTTCCTCTGCCTCATCACCTGTGGAATCAATATCCATCTCTTGAGTCTGCGGTTGGGAACGCGTCCGCTCCAGCATGTCATCAAAGTTGGCTGCATCCACGTTCATCCAGCCATCCGAGTCTTCAATCTCATCAGGCATCTCGGCAAGGTATTCCGGGGCGGCAGACAACGCTGAATTGAACAGCGCTGCGAATGAAGGACGAGTAGCGTCGCTGGCAAGACATCAGCATCAAGGCCAAAAGTGAAAATGAACGACTTACTCCTCTTGTCGAACCTGAATGAATGCATCAGCGGCTTTGTTTTCCAGTTCATTCCAAAGCTGCGAGTCTTCAACTTCACCCCGGAAGTAGCCGGTTGAAACCAGATTCGTGATATAGGCTTTATAGTCGGATGATCGGCGAAGTGCTTCTTTACGTGCTTCCGCCTAAGGCCACACGGTTAGTATGACGACGGAGGACTAAGTCAGGCATACATACCGATGACTCGAGCACCTCACTGGTCTTACTTGTGATGTCAGTACGACTCTTCGACTCTTGGTAGATCATTTCGAAACCGCAAGCCTGTCACGGTGTCTTTGTCAACGAACATATTCCAGAATGACGAATGTCTTGACTTGCCAGCTTCATACCTGTGTCTCTCCAACGCCAGACGTTACTTGCCCTCGCGCTCCTTAAAACAACCGAATATTTTTGGAGGGAAGAATTTTTGCCCAACAAGTTGGGCATAAGCTGGTCTTGTCAACTTGACTGTGGTAAGCACAACAGAGTGAGGAGGAAACCGCGTCATGCGATGGGCAGCCTGCAGAATAATCATCAGAACGATGTCGCGGAGAGTCAAATATACTGACTCGTAGTTGGACGGCATCACGCGTGTAGAATGTCTCGACAGGCTTTTGTACCAATGAAGGGTCGACGGATAAAGCGCGAGCAATGTCGAGCGGAAGATACGCTTTGGTGGTATGCACGTGGCTTTTGGTTGCTGCAGGATAGCTTTCCCGAGGATCAATAGCTCGTCACGTACACTAAAAGATATGCCTACCCAGAAGTACGCTGCCATACCGTATTCTCAACTGTACGGGGTGCACGCGTTTCGACAGTCGCATCGCGGACCAGCTTCAGTGCGTCATCGATGGCTAAATATTCGTCAAGGTCATCGCCAACAATGTCACCTTCGTCATCACTGTCTTTAGACCCAGGGAATTTGCGTCTTCGTTTTGGTTTACTGGGAGCAGATATGTGTTGGAGAGGTATGAGGTGCAAAATGCCACTGTATATCCAGACCTACAATGTAAGAGCACCAAGGACAAATTCAGTAAACTGTCTTACCATCTAAAGCACGGGAAGAGGGCGCACCCTATTCTCGGAGTTGGACGGTTTGACCCATGAAGGCAGGGCTTCGGCCGCCTCGATGAGGAGAAACTCCCCGTCAGAATCCATCACGCTAATACGCGCTGTTAGTCCCGAGATAAATCGCACTGAGATCAAAATCGGACCTGATAGCAAAATCCCACTTCTTGCTGATCTCCCGTAGGATCCAGACAACGCACCACTCGTCATCGATGGAGTCTCCGACGCGCATACGCCCTTCAAGCATCCACTTGTTATCCCTAGCTGCGGCAGAATCGATGTCTTTCGCGACTTTGACCTCGAAAGAGTCTCTGTGCCAGAGAAAATTTGGCAAAAGCTCGGAGACATATGCTTGTACGCATGCTGCGAGTGTCGTTGTAGATGATTTTTCTGCTAGTGCCGGAGGGGGATAAAGGGTGTACTGAATTGTGTCCTCTGAGATCGAAGGCGGGCGGTTGAAGATGTCCATCGCCATGGTAGATTATTGAAAAACGCTTGTTCGTGGAACCAGTGACTAGGGGAGACTTACTAGGATCGTCGGGACTGTGTTTGTCAGCGAAAGTAGCGACCCCGACTCGTTTCCTTTCTTGGTTCACCGAAGAGCACCAATGGACATCGACCACGGCCTTCAAGGACAGAAATCTCATAGCTGTCATAGGGGATGAGGTACGTTCTCCCTTCCTAGTTAGCATCGCTCAGAACTGGACTCGCGTTGGCAGGACTCGATAACGGGACTGCTTCTTGCAGGCATCGGCCACATCAACGAGCACCAGAGGAAGAACTTCCTCGTTGTAGACTCTAGTAAGGTCTTTGGCGTATTCCACGTCATTTCATACTCACGGATGAGTCCAGAAACACAAATATCCGCAATCGAAGCTGCGTTCCAGGAGTTTACCCAACGGAAGGACATCGCAATCATCCTCATTAACCAGCATGTGAGATCAAACCTCCCTTCAATTGTATCTTTGACCTCAATATGACGCGTACTCTTAGATAGCAGAGAAGATACGACCGACAGTGGACCGCTATCAAGAAGCATTCCCTACGTTGCTCGAGATACCTTCCAAGGACCATCCATACGGTGAGCACCGGACACGCCTACAGTCTCCATGTGCCCTGTACTAACATGCAATGCAGACCCTTCAAAAGATTCTGTATTGAAACGCGTCCAGAAGCTTTTCGGCGAGTAGAGAGCGTATGCTTTGCTACATTACTCGCATTGCTAGGGGTTGAATGTCCATATGTACCATATAATACAGATGTACATGGCAAGCAGAGTCTCAGCTGTACCTACGACCTTCTCCCTTACCTTCGAATTAGGTATTGGGGTGCAGTGATCTATGCCGAAGTGAATCGCATGATGGGCTCATTCTCCCGTACACCTGGTGCTCGTTCAATGAATACCCTCACTGGGTTCCGGGTTTCTGAATCTAAGATTGAAACGTTGGTGTTAGCGGAAGATAATAGGAATCAACAAAGTGACATACTTGGAAGGTCAATCAGGAGATACCGGAAGACGAAGTAGCCCTCGTCGTTCTGTGTTTCATATGAGTATTTGCGAAATATCCTTCGGAGAATTACATACCCGGACAAGATCAGCATGGACCTCTCCTTCTGTCCATGAAACGCCCTGAGTCTCCTCCACCCTCAGCTACGCTTCTGCGTCCCTTCAATCCTGAGAACAGTCCAGCAAAGCTCCACATGCCCTTCTCCTGTTTTCTTTCGTTCTCCTGGCTGTCATTAGTTGACAGTTGTGGGTGAGGTGCGGGCGATGGAGCGACATCGCCACTCAAGTATCTAAATGCACGTTTTGCAGATTGCCCGATCGACTCCAGCTTCTCCTTCGCAAGCGCTATGGTTTCATCTAGAGTCAGGGAACTCAGAGACTCAATGTATGAAGGGCCTGCTTCTTCATCGGCTTGCTGAGCTGATTTAGCGGAAGACGACCCTTGTACGTAGAAGTTTAGGAGCATGTGTTCTCGCCCTGAAGAATCTACAGCGACTTGGGATGAAACGTGCCTATGCCTGTGCCTCGGTCGTGTGGAGGAGGGTGGATTATTGTGGAATATAAGAGGTGCTCGCAGGTATTTTGCAACCTGTACATAGCAAAATCGATATTGTTTTGAACCCAAACTCGTAAGATTTCATGACATACCCGAGGAGATGAATTAATGCGGTCGCAGGCATCATTAAAAGGACGGTAGGCGAGTTCCTTGAGAACAACTCTGATGTAAGGGCATATATGAGCACGGCAGAAAGCCCGGCACCCAAAAGAATGACAGCAAGATTCGAAGTGCGCTGCGTTGTTCGAATCACTGTGAAAATAGATAGGATCAATCACAGTCCATTATGATAGATCTATAAGAAAATATGAGAATTCATGCGCACCCTTGCCACCGGTGCTCAGCTCGGACCACTGTTTTACTTTCTTTCCCTTGAGGGAGCCTTGAGATATTCCAAGCGTAAACGGCCCTACTGAGTCCTCTCGGTTCAGACGCGTCCCGCGCTGTTTCTGGTCAAGCGCGGAAGAAAGTAATGAAGATGCAGCGTCTTGGTGAGTCACAAACGACCTGCGACATAATCCAAATGCTTGGATTTGGTGACGGTGGCCATGTGAAAATAAGAAGATGTAGGTCGATGGCCGCGAACGAGTGCAAAGCGTATTGGCTTGACGTGCGAGCTTCGCTATGGAGGTCATGGTCAGGTTAACGTTCTAGACTGCATCCGAAAGCGCATTACCCAAAAATGGCCGGCGATCGGTCACCGCCTAATTTTGGCCAGGCAAACCCCTCGAATCCTTGAAGTTGTGCACGTCCGACATAATGTGCTGGTATTCCAGCCTGCATCGTCCGTATGGTTCTCACAGGTGTCTGAAATCTAAAGGAATAATTTTGGGCAGAAGAAAGAAAATTATCATTCATACAGAAGCTCAGAATCCCATTACAAAACAAATACAACGCTCTAAAATTATTACTCAGTCGCTAACTTATGATCGTTCTCCACGCAGGCGCCTAGCAAGCGCGAGGTCTTTAGGTTGGATGGTGACACGCTTGGCGTGAATAGCTGCGAGATTGGTATCTTCGAATAACGAGACGAGGTAAGCCTCAGCGGCTTCCTGGAGTGCCATGACAGCAGAGGATTGGAAGCGGAGATCGGTCTGGATGGCTCGGTTAATATATGGATGATAAAGAAAGACGGTGCTAACCTTGAAATCCTGTGCGATCTCACGCACAAGACGTTGGAATGGGAGCTTGCGGATGAGGAGCTCCGTAGACTTCTGGTAACGACGGATTTCACGGAGGGCGACGGTACCAGGGCGGAAGCGATGAGGCTTCTTGACACCCTCCGGCGGGGACCTGTCAAGGGATCGAACCAGTCAGCGAGGCATGGTGGAAAGACTTAGAAGGGTCGACTGACAGCGGCGGTCTTGCGAGCTGCCTTGGATGCGAGTTGTTTACGGGGGGCTTTGCCTGTTCAAGACAGTTAATGCTATGAGGTTTGGAGGATGAATACGAGAAAATATACCTCCGGTTGACTTGCGGGCGGTCTGCTTGGTACGGGCCATTGGAAAAGTTGCAAGGTGAGTGAGGTTGAAACTTGAGGTAAGTTGACAGTGAAGATGGGTGTTGTCCGCAAGCCACAAACTGAACGCGATCCCTTCTTATATATATATCGGTCCGTTTCGGCACGTGCACCTAGGTCAATCAACAATGATGATGAGGTTATATTTAGCCACAAGCGCGTCGCGTACATCCACGTGATTTCTGTGGACACCTATTGATTTGATTAATGTTTAAATTCAAGGCGTAGGACCAGAACAATAGACATCATCGACTACGAAGATCACGTTAAAATGAACTACAAAGGTCCGAATAATGATAATCGCATCTCTCGCTCAGAAGATACAGTGACCATGGCATCCAGTCATGTGGTATTTTTTCGTGAGGGGTAGTGGGACTCGGAATTGTCCCTGTAGATTCAGAACTATTGGTAGAGATGAGCTCGTGGCAAGGACGAACAGGAATAAGCTGAATTTGACGGCCTATATCTATCATCAACTACTTACTCCTACATATGTGCTAATGATACACGCGATCTTTAGTGGTACCAAATGTTACTAACCAACGCATGAATTCGTCAAGCCCGAGCTCGTTCCTTGCTGAGATCTGGTAAAAGCTAACATCCGAGGTGCCTCCCAAGAATGCATTTGTTGGTAAGTTGGGAGTAAGCATGATAGCGCTCACCAACGTCCTTTACGCCCAGGTCGAAGCTCTTTAGCTTAGTCAGTAGCTTTACAATTCAATAGAGGTAAACACCTGGGCTCGGTACTTCAGAAGTTCAAGTTACACAAAATTCTAAAACATCAAAGGCATCTCGATCTCAGGTTATCCATCGCATTTGAGAATGCCGTCACGCCTACATGATGATGGGCTCCTCTACTTCTAACCGGTCATGCACTCTTAACAATGTGTCATCCAAATCTTCATCTAGATCACCGTGACATGCATTCTACTGCAAGCCCCTGCTCCTCAAGGTACAGCCATGAGCCATTGTTGGAGATTCGCAAATTGGTATGTATAACTTTTAGAACATATACATATGGTTTTTTCATGGCTCCTGCAGCAATTTCAACTGTAACTTGAAGTCCCTCAATATCTTCAGAAACCAAAAATTGAATTCCCTGCAGCACAACTGTGAGATACCCGTAGGGAATGAAAGCGGTGGGTACCTTCCAATTTTTCTTGGTTGTTTCATTGTCCTATTCCTGATTCGATAAATGTTGTGGCCCCTTCTACCCACAATGATCCCGAAAAGACTGGCCAACATCATGTTCGTGCTTCTCGGATAGACATGTGAATGGAATAAGATACAGCATTGCCGACACCACCGGGAAGAATGGATCCCTGGCTACACTCATGCCTGATTTTAAAACTCGCCAAAAGGACGAAGCACCTTCTGCTGTATCTGGCAAGCGAAGGTTTCTCTGGTCCAGACCAATGCTCGCTTGGAAATGGAGGTGCCACCGCCCACAGGGCATGTATGTTTGGTATTCACAGATATCCGCAGTTCAGCCCAACTGTGAGACAAGAATCCTGCCATGCCGACAGTGATACACCTGCACAACAACCTGCTGTTACAACACCTTCTATATTGTGGTGGTTATATTGTCAGGACAGAAGGCGACGCATTTTATGTGCGCCTTTTCAACAACCCTTGCCGCGGTATGGTGGAGCGTTACTGCCCAGCTTCAACTTCTTCGTGTACCATTGTAGAGACTCGCGTTTCTGCAGGCACATATAGGCACATTTCGCACCTTTTCACAACTCATGACAATTGGCCTTCAATGCACGACTCGCACCATCAACTATATTCGACTTCTATCATGTCCCCTAGTCGTTTTACACATAACGCGCAGCTTTCCCACGAAACGCGCCATAGGCGCGGTACTTCCCACACAACGCGCAGCATTCCCACACGCGCACCTTGCGCGCTTTCTCGCGTTTAAGCGCCCTGCATTGCCTATCATCCAGGAACGTCCCTCTATGTCCATCCACCTCATTGGTACGTCATATGCCTTGCCTCGTGGTTTGTAACAAGCATTGCAGCATTATTACATGTCATTACGTATTCATAGCGCTTATTGCTCCTATCCCTTCCGCTTCCGATGCGATTTCCATAGTATAAAGTTGCTGACTTACTACACCATCATTATTACTCCCCTTTGCTGTACTTCCCTTGCTATTGGGTTTTACCTTAGAGTAGTAGTCACCACTTGGGCGCACTTTGTGTTTCCAATGGTTATCATTATCCGCCTATACTAGACCTTTATCCGCGCTCGTTATAACACTCGCTCTGCATTGCACTCGCTTTGCACATCCGCTTCC